TGCAACTGTAAAAGTTTTTCTGCCTTTACATTTGCTTCAACTTCTTTTTTATACTCATCGCTATCCATATATGTCTTCAGGGCTTTTTGTTTTATCTCTTCATCTTTCAGTACTTTATATTGAGTAGTATGGTTTTTCAAATTTATGACATCTTGTTCCATTTTTGCTACTTCTGCTGCTTTTTCTGACACTTTTTTCGCATATTCCTCTGTACTTAGTTCTTTCAGTTGTTCTTCTTTCTTCTTTTTCTCTACGTTTAACTCATTGAGTTTCTTTGTGTGTCTGTCATATTCTAGTTTCTTTTCGTTTTCACTTATTTGTTTCTGTATGTCTATGTTTGACTTTTTGACATCTGTTATTTGATTTTTGAGTGAACTCAAATTCATTTGACTTTGAGGGTTATAAGCTGTTCCGTCTGCAGCTCCACCATAGCCTGCCATTTTCGCTAAAAGTGCCGCTCTTAAACCTCCACTCTGTGCACCAAGAACTCGGTTTAAAAGCATAGGATTGCTTGACATTTGTTGCAACATAGTGGGGTCATTCAGCATTTGTTGTTGCAACTGTTGTTGTGGTGTTAGTCTTACTATTGGATGTTTCAATGCTCCCTTCCTCTTACGTATATTCTTACGTAGCTTACGTGGCATTTTAAGTGAAGTTAAAAACATTTACGATGAAGAAGTTTCGACAAAACATTTACGAAGAAATCATGAAAATTCAAGAGGGTAGAAATGAGGTTAGAAAAGAGGTTAGATCTAACCTTCTACCCTAAACATTATTTTTTGGTCATTTACGCTCATTACGAAGAAGTCTTGACAAAACATTTACGAAGAAGTTTCGACAAAACATTTACGAAGAAGTCTTGACAAAACATTTACGAAGAAGTCTTGACAAAACATTTACGAAGAAGTCTTGACAAAACATTTACGTTCATGTTTGACAAAACATTTACGAAGAAGTCTTGACAAAACATTTACGAAGAAGTCTTGACAAAACATATACGATGAAATCATGAGTTTTCTACGATGTTAGAAAACATGTTAGAAAAGGTGTTAGATCTAACATTCTAACATAAACATTATTTTTGGGTCATTTACACTCATTACGATGAAGAAGTCTTGACAAAACATTTACGAAGAAGTCTTGACAAAACATTTACGAAGAAGTCTTGACAAAACATTTACGAAGAAGTTTCGACAAAACATGAAAACATATATAATTTGTGAAAAGCTCCTGGAAGACCCGTATATAAGAACTTCATTTATGTGGGCTAGAGGGCGCAACGCGCCTGGAAGCCCACCCCAAGAAAAAAAAAACTTCATTATATCAATCATCCTCAGGGCTAGAAGGCACGAAGTGCCTGGAAGCCCCACTACCTTTTTTTTTTTTTTTTTTTTTTTTTTTTTTTACAAGATTATATAATTGTATTTTCTATCCAATTATCCATATAATATCTTATCCAGAAAAAATAACTTGATCAATACCAAATGATTTTTTAACTAGTAAATAAAGTATTTTCTTTACACACACATTGTATATCATAGTTTTTGTTTTTTTTTTTTTGGTTTCGCAAAACATCCAAAAACAAATATGCTATAAAAGTGACAATTTTAGCAAAACGAAACCCTTACATGTTTTGATATGATATCCTTAATTTTATTCTAAAGGTTATAAATCAAATGTAGTAAAAGGGGGTGCACTCCGGTCTATAGGTAATCATCGACCAAAATAGTACGCATTAGACTTAGCATATGAAGCATAGCAATATCATATATGGCATTATTGAATTTCACTCGTTTTATGAATTCGATATCTGATTGCTAAGAAAATGTTGTAAAATTTCTCAGAATCAATCTCGAAAAGAATTGTATTGTTCGAATTATATAGATACTATTGTTTTTTGATTGGAATCTTCACTTTAAAGTAAATTTCAATATTTTCATTCTTTATTCTAACTTTTTATCATATGCATTTGTGCTATATAATTGTTCAAATACAATTTGTTCATGTATTTTTAGAAATTCTCAATATTTTTAGAATAAAGATTTTATTTTATCTATTAATGCGTCATTTGAATGTATATTACTTAGCTAAAAATACGAAAGTTGTAATAAAATAAAAATTTACAGTATACGGAAAAACCGTGTTGAAATCTAAAAAAATTCAAAATCTGACACATGTCTCTGTGGCCATATTAGACCCGTATTCTTCCTCTGCAGTAAGAGATTTAATGAAAGTATTCATTAATAGATACACATCTGTTTAAAAATGATATCCGTTATTAAATCATATGTTCTGAAGACGGCAAAAACTTGTGTTTTCGACTTTGTAAGTCAGTAATAAGCGATATAAATGGGTCGGTTTTGTGAGTAAAGTCATTTGGGAAAAAATCGTTAATTGAAAAATATGTAATAATTTTTGAAAATGAAGTAAACCATACATTGAAATGTATAGTATTAAGCTACTCTTTGGCGTTGTGAGTTTTGTTCAATTATGTAGCTGATGGTAGATTTGGAGACAAGCAAGTTTTGTGAAAATTCTTATAGTTAAAAATAAAAATTGAGTGAAAATATCATGTGGCTCATTTGGTAAGTCGCTTTATTTTTGGGGTCGGAAAACCCAGGTTCGAATCCGAATGCATATTATTTTTTTTTCGCTATATCAATGAATTGTATTATCACCAACAATTAATTAAATAATAATCAATTTGGTATTTGATCAAAGATTAATAATTTCGTATTTAATTTCGCATATTTTTGTAAAATAATATTTGAAGCTATATTAAAATCGACTCACAAAACAGTTATAAGATTTTTTATTTCTTAATTCAAAAAAAGTGAACTTTGATCTTTAAATTTTAAACAATATTGAGAAATAAATATTGATAATCACTTGAAATTCTTTTGTATATAATAAAATTATGAAGCTGTGTATCAAAATCTAATTTTTAATACCAATCTCATTATTTGTTCAAATAATTTTTATTATTATTATCATAAGATCTGGTACTATATGAATAATATCGCATTGCAACATAAACATGAGTAAATTTCAAAATTGCAAAACATTTACCTCAATTACTCTATTGGTTTACATTAACCTATTTTAGATATACGCATTTAAATAGTCTTTTCTATATTAGCATGTGTGCATAGATAAATGAAACTTAAATGATGGATTCCCGATAAATTTAACAAAAAATTCTTATATTTTTGATTTAGTACAATACAAACATAAAAACATACAACAAATACCATTGTATTACCTAATTTCATAGTATTTGGAAATTATTCTCAATAATTTTCAATTTTGCATTATATTAAATTCAAATGAACCATTAGATACATGTTATATTCAATGAATATTTTCACGAGAATAAAGATTTTTTAGAATATTGTTTTATGTTATTTGTATTTTACAGTCTATTTGTATCTACCTATCTTAAAATACGTTTTATGTTTGTAATCACTTTCCAACCTATAACAATGGAGAATAATTCCGAAAATTTAAATGTTAAGGTATGAATAGTTCAGTTATACCAAGATTGCATAGGTCCTTTGGTATGAATAGTGAACTTAAGGACATTCAATTGCTTCATATTAACAAATCTATGTCAAAAGCAAATTATAGTTATTCGCAATCTTAATTTATTCATATATGTGATTAAAAACAGCTTAATTGTTTGTTACTAATAGCAATCTTCTATTTATTTTTCAAATATAAAAAAAAGGAAAAAAAGAAATATATGGCACTTAGTTCGAACTCGGAACCCCAAAAATAAAGCCAATCCGGCGGTTTTAATCGTTATACCACATCCCAGTTTCATACGTAGTTTTTATCTCAGATATTTATGCGGCCAACCCTGTCAAAAAACAAGACCAAAAGTGAGCTTTAGGCACGAATGTTAAATAAGATATAGATATATAGGGGTAATGAATAATGGATTGATTAAATTTGATAAATAATCCGAATTTTTTTGAAAATCTTTCAATATCCATAATATCATCTAAATATTGAACATTATAAAAATATTACTTGTATAATTGAATAAACAAAGGATTTTATTCTGAAATATTAAGAATAAAAAATTTGATATAATGCAAAAAAGGTTGATAATGTAGATTCATCTACAGTAAACATCCATGACTCATAATAAATTTGTATAAGATGTATAACGCGTGATTTATTGCTATAACGGTCAAAATTAAATCTGCATAACAACGCCAAACGAATGATTTGGAACTAGGTCTATATATATTTTGCTATAAACCTTTGCTGTAAACAACCTTAAAAGATGGTTGGAGTATTACCTAGTAGAATGTATATATACTTAACCGAAAACTTTGTGGTCATCAATGATCGTATCACAACGTAGGATATTTGCATTTTGAACGCTTCTTGATTTGAGCTCATGAGTTTTCAATGCGAAACATAATTACGAATAATAAATTTGCTTCAGGTTACTCTATATGAACATTAACGAGTATCTTGTATATAATTTATTCATGGCAACTTCAAAGAAAAATGCCCTCTGGATCTCACAATAAAGTGAGAGCTTTTACCCTAGGGAGCACTTTTTGAGTGTCAAAAAAGAGTGCCACCCCTTTTAATGTAGTTCTTGAATTGGGAAAGAATACATTTTTTTTATAATGTTCGCAGAGACAGATGTAAGTAGTCTAAATGATACTTGTAGGCTAGAGATTATCAAATTCAATAGTATCTGTTAAATTTGAATATTAATAAAAGATGACCATAATTTCAACTAATGAAAATACAAATCGATGCAATAACATAGTTGTTACCTTACTAAGAAGGAAGTAAATGTGCTCATAGATTAGCTTTTAAATCGAATACTTCAATATTTTTCATTAAAATTTTATCCAAAAACAGAAAAACTCTAACAATTAAAAACATTTGTCCATGCTATAATACAAATAGAGTACAAACATCTAAAAAAACACTTAATTTTTTTTGTTAATCAATCAAATCGAAAGTTGTTTAGTTTAAAGATACTTCTCAAGGCGGTGGAAGATATCAGCGCAGCGGCATGAGTACATCCACTCGTTATCGTACCAGGAGAGAACCTTGACAAGTGTGCCCTGGCCTTCTGGGTTTGGAAGAACCTTTGTGGAGAGAGCATCAACGATGGATGAGTACTGGCAGCCGATGATATCGGATGAAACGATTGGGTCTGTGACGTATGTCATGATGCCCTTGAGGGAGCCTTCCTCTGTAGCCTTCTTGAGGGCAGCGTTGACTTCCTCCTTTGTGACCTTGGCGTTAACGTTGACTGTGAGGTCGACGAGGGAGCCTGTGATTGTTGGGACACGGAGAGCGAAGCCATCGAGGGACTTTGGTGGGAGACCGTGGCAAACCTTTGGAAGAGCGATAGCAGCACCTGTGGATGTTGGGATGATGTTCATGCCAGCAGCACGAGCACGGCGGAGATCCTTGTGCATTGTATCAGCGACAACCTGATCGTTTGTGTAGGAGTGGACTGTTGTCATGAAGCCGTTGCGGATTCCGAAGGCGTTGTTGAGTGTCTTAGCGACTGGGCCAAGGCAGTTTGTTGTGCAGGAAGCGTTGGAGATGCAGCGTGTCTCTGGCTTGAGATCTTCATCGTTGACACCAAGAACGAGTGTGCATTCAATCTCATCAGCAGATGGGACGGAAAGGACAACCTTCTTAGCACCAGAAACAAGGTGGCCATCATAACCATCCTTTGTGATCTTGCCTTCAGCATCCTTCTCGGCCTTTGTACGGAAGATACCTGTTGACTCGAGGACAACATCGATGCCGAACTCCTTCCATGGGAGCTGGGATGGGCCAAGGCGGCCACCGATTGACTTAACAACCCACTTGTCAGCGCCTTCACCGACTGTGAATTCCTGCTTAGCCTCATCGACTGTGACTGGCTCTGGGAATGCACGGTGAGCTGTATCGTACTTAAGGAGGTAAACGTTTGTCTTGATGTCACCAAGATCGTGGATAGCGACAACTTGGACATCCTTTGGATAGAGCTTGCGGCAAGCACGGAAAACAAGACGGCCAATTCTGCCGAAACCGTTGATAGCAACTTTAACTACCATGTTAAGTTGAAAGTGATATGAACATCTTCGGAGCAATTACTCCTCAAAAAATTCAGTCATCAGTGGTCAACACCTAATTGAATTTATCTGTCAAATTCCTTTTCAATTTTTTGCAAGGTATTATATATCAGTGACATATGACATGAAATTTTTCTAACTTCACCTGCGATACTATTTTTGAGAACTTAACAACTCTCAATTTTTGTTATCCCATCGTTTTTTTCTTTCCAAAATTTTCCATGAGATAGTTCTATTTGACACCAGCTTTGGAAGTAGGGCATGTCCTAAAGGATAATCTACTGAAAGATTTTCCGATCTTCCCCTTTTCAAATTCGATCAAAAAAGAAAAATACAGTAAAAGCGTCTCTTGAGTTCCCAACAAAAGAAACATCATGCAAGGTTCCCGATTTTCATGTGAAAATGATGATCTTCCTCCAAAAAGAATTTTTCAGATATTCCATTTCGACCAAATTTTCTGAACTAGCAATATTTGAACCTAATCTCAAACTGGTCTATCATCTGCCTTTCATATCTAATTATTACAGATGTAAGAATTTCTCAATTGTTCAAATTTATTTAATCAATATCAATGAATACACAAAAATAAAGAAAAATCATACCTTTACAAATAGACAATATTATGACACACATCTAGAATCCATTGAGATGAAGTTTCTATAATTTCTATATTAAATATCATTAACAAAGATATTAAAGCCTGAAAATCACATATATACAACAAAGGCAACTCTTTGGATCAAAACTCAAATCAAAAACCTCAACTCACAAAAGAAATATGTTAAAATACATTAGAATTTAACCATTTTAGATTTTTACCATTGTATGAGGCCTTATTATCTGTTAAAACTAATATGCCAACCTGGATCATATCCTTTCAAATTTTGAATTTTGTCACGTTTTGAATACGTAAGATAAGTTCCTATTCCAATCATATATAAATTTTTAACCAAACATTCATTTGCTCTGATTTTAAAAAAAAAGGTAGTGGGGCTTCCAGGCACTTCGTGCCCTCTAGCCCCGAAGATGTTTAGTATAAATGAAGTTTTTATTCGGAAAATTGTTAGTCTTCTGGTGTGAATTCGGAGGACTCTTCTTCTTCCTCCATTGCTTCTGGGAAGAAGCCTTCTTCTGGGTCGAAAACATTATATAATGTGTCGCTTTTCACAAATTATATATGTTTTCATGTTTTGTCACTTTTCTGTCACTTTTCAGGAAAAAACATTTTTATTATTATATATAAATGAATTTTACAAAACCCCCGTTACCGTTCTTTGGAAATAAGAGTAGATGTAAAGATATTATATTGAGAGAACTTAAGAAACTACCGAATGGTCTAACATTTGTAGATTTGTTCGGTGGAAGTTTCTATATATCCCATTTGTGCCATACAATATTCCCAGACTCAAAGATTATATGCAATGACTTCGACAACTATATGGACCGTCTCAAACATATACCAGACACAAACAATATATTGAAAGAGTTAAAAGAAAAGATACCTATAGGTAAGATGGAACGTATACCATTAGATAAGCAAAATATTGTGAGAGAGGTTTTGAAAAAAGCAGAATATATAGACTGGGATAGTATATCTGCTAGACTATTATATAGTGGTTCTATAAGAGTTCATGACATTGAAACACTTATGTCAAAAGTTTTATATCTTAACTATACAAATGTTTTCAAAGAGGACATAGAAAAATATATTGAGGGTATAGAGTTTGTGAGATGTTATTGGACAGAGTTGTATGAAAAATATAAAGACAAGGAAAATGTTTTCTTTATAGTGGACCCGCCGTTCTATAACACATGGGATTTTCAATACCAAGTAGACTGGACTTTGAGAGACTCTTTAGAAACTTTAGACGTTATACATAACCATCCATGCTTTTACTTTACATCCGATAAAAGTGGTTTGGAAACCGTTATGAAATGGTTAGAGGACATACATGACTATGAGTTTAGATATGACAAGATAGAATATGAGAGAGGTCCTATAAACCGGAGAAAGTGTCATAACAAAGAAATTTTATTAGTAAGTAAATGTGGTTTGAAATAGGACTACTTGTTTTAGGTTTTTTCCATTGTGTCATTTATTTCTTTGACGTGGCAGAAAAGTACAGAGAATATGAAGATGAACCAATGCCTGCAAATGTTCAGTATATGTACTCGTAAGTATAGATCCAAGGTGATGTGATTTTTGCATCCCTGGGATGGACGATACACCCAAAGTGTCACCTTTTTGGGATAACATGAATTTTAAATATCATGAGAGTTCTGCAAACCATATGCACAATATCTATTCAGCCTGACTTCTTGTATATATGAGTTAGACTTCTTAAATATTGTGCTTGGGGCGATATAAGCATTTCCGAGATTACCATCGTGCTCTATAGTATGCTACTTCTCCCTGGTTCTAGCTCAGTTCCAAGGATATTGGCGTTCAAGGATTTGGCAAGGTCCTTCCGAAGTCTCTCATTCGATGAGAGATTTCGGAAGAATCTTGCCTTAAAGTACTCCAACTCTTGTTCTTTTGTTCCTAAATAGTGAGAAAAGTTATTTGACTACTTAAGGTAGAGATTATCCGAGGTCCCTCATTTGATGAGAGGCCTCGGATAATCTCTGCCTTAAAATTGTACACTTGTAGTCCATGAGAGTGTAAGTATACATTGATAGGACAGCTTTCTTCTGAAGTCTTAGATTTGATGAGAACCTCAGAAGAAAAACTGTCCTATTTTATAGTAAAAGGAGTTTCAGGAGCTCCAAAGCTCCCTTTCGTAAGGATTAGGAGCTTTGGAGCTCCTGGTTCGTAGATGTGTTTCGCATCTTTCATCAGCAAAGGACATTTACCATCTGGGACTCTGTTGATGGAGACTCAGGAGCTCCAAAGCTCCCTTTAGTAAGGATTAGAAGTTTTGAAGCTCCTGGTTCGTAGACGTGTTTCGCATCTTTCATCAGAAGAGGCCCAAATGGTAAATAGCCTCTGCTGATGAGCTTCAGGAGCTCCAAGGCTCCCTCTCGTAACGATTAGGAGCTTTGTAGCTCCTGAAGGTAAGGTAGGATTGCTCTGATCTCTAATCAGTAGATGCCATGCCTCATTATGAACTCTACTGACAAGAGATCAAGAGCTCCAAGGACTCCCTTTTGAGTTAGTGGCGTTCTCACCATTTAGTAGGATTGCTGATCCTACTAATGAAGTGATCACTTAGTATACGTTTTGAATAAATTGAATTTTTTTTAGAATTTAGTATTTTTTATAGACATCACATGTATATTATAAATACATAAATATATTCTTTAATTCAAAAAATTCAATTCGGTTTTGGGATGGGTATCCAGCCCAAGTATTCAATTTTATTCAATTTTTTAAGAATTTTGGGTTGGGATGCCCAGACCAAAACAAGCTTTATATTTTGATGTGTAGATACGTATGTGTGCATCATTGTTGTGTTATATATTATGTTTTTAATGAAAAAAAATCTGATTCAAAAAAAATTATCACTAATTAGTTGATAATATAAAGAAAAAATAGATAAATTGTATGTTTTGAGAGTATTTATCCACATTCACTCATATGAATTTCATTAAATAGTGTCTTTTTACTCCAAAATTTATTTTGAATTATTGAAATCAAAGAAAAAAAATCAGAAAAATTTCTCGAAATTTTTATTTTCAAAAAAAATTTGGATTTTATATTGAAAACTGACACTGGGAGGACGATAGGGCTGGGATTGGAGATACCCCGCTCACTTGGGAAAAATACGGATCTATACTCGTAAGAGATATTTTTATCTAATATTAAATGGACGCACAGAACTTAGCGAATGCACAGCAACCTGGACAACCAAACCCAGAGAATATTCCAAATGAAGTTAGAATACAAACTGCAATGGCAAACTATGGTCAAGTGCCAACAGATGTACAAATGCAAACTGCCATGTCAAATGACGCTGCGTTAGGTTTGCCACCATGGTATGCAAATATGAGATGGAAAGAGTTTTATACAAACCCTGAAGTGGGATATAAACAACTTTATGCAGATGACGCGAACACAGGAGTTGACCCAGAATATGTTTTCTACCAGAGGAGAAACAGAATGTATGAGCTCCAGTTAAAGAATGCTATGGAACTCAACAGGAAACGTAAGAGACTAGGCGGACATTAGATTTTTACATATAGTAAAATGGGTTTCTTCAGTAAGATAGGAAACTTCTTTCGAAATGTTGGAAGAGGTATATGGAATGGAATAAAATCTGTCGGAAGAGGAATTTGGAACGGTGTCAAAAATATTGGTAAAAGGGTAGGTCAGTTCGTTGGTATTATACCTAAAGACCCTGAACCAGAAGAACAAGCTCCTGTTATACAACAGCCTGAACCTGCACCACAGTCTAGTTGGCAACCAAATCCAACACCTCAACCGTATTAAAAAATTATATTTTTACCGTTCGATAGTAGTTGTATATGAAACTAAGTTCTAAGTAAAACACATGGTATAATGGAATTATTCTTTTTCTTCCATCTGTAGTAAACCATACTTGAAAGTCTGAAATACTTCCACTTGGTGGTTCGTATAACTTTGTAGGTTTTTCGTAAAAGTCATTTGCCAAGCATAAGAAAGAGTTTTGGGCGCCAGAAAATGAAGCATGAACAATAATAGCATCTTGGTCGAAAACATCTTTAAATAAATATGGTTCATCTCTTGCATATCGACTGTAAATATTTGCTAAAGGAAGTTCGACTTTCTGATTTAACATTCTTTGCAAATAATACCATGACATTGCAGTGAATTCTGTATATATTTGTTCGTCTTTATTTGGATTGTTTTCGTAGATTTGAAATGACACTTGTGAATTTTGTTTGTCATATACAATTCTCACATAAAGTGTGCTCTCGGTATTTGCATATTCATCAGCATATTTTGCATAACATGAATTTATTTTATCTTCTATATTTTTTAACGCAGTCTGTAGAGAAGATGA